GCTTGTTTAGGTTTGGGCTGAGGCGAGCTGTGATATGCGAGGCTGGGAGATCGGCGATCGGCAATTGGGTGTCTTCGAGTGGTCTGTCACTAGGGCTACAGCAACCGGTGGCACTGACGTTTTGTGCCAAGCGGCTGCCGTCGACTGGGTCACCCATCGGACAGGTTGCAGGCGTAGCCGCCCGCAAGCCTGGCGGACTCGGCATCAAAAGTAGGCTGGCCAGACTGTTGCCACCGCAACGCAGACCAGTTAGACAGGGCGAAAGTGTCGAGGTCAACTCGGGACCCACAACTGAATTGAACTCCTCCTCGAACTGATCCAGCCGGCCGGAGGACGAACCGGAAGCAAATCGTGCCATCGTCGACTTACCGCGTGCCCCACTTCCGGCAACAGCCTCGTCGCCCAAAAGTGTGCTCGAACAAGACACGCTCGGTCGACCGCTCATCGGCACCAACGGACGTGGAGACGCGAGTTGGCTCGGTTCCGTCGACGTGGCCAACGGCACCATGTCACAACCGAGATTGGGAAGGTAGGCAGTAGTTGGCATATTGTTGCCTTGACAACCGGGCGAAATGGTCACCACAGCCACGGCAGCAGCTGCTGCCGCCGCAGCAGCTGCCAGTTGCCAGAGTCCGCGGACGGCCTCTTCTGATTGGCCGTCGCCAGGGCAACGGTCAACCCAAGTAGCCGGTGGATTTGGTTGTATGTGACAGTTGTCGGGCGAGACTGCGTGTCGTCGTAGGGACGAGGGGCTAAAAGAAGGCATTGGTCGGAGTTGGGAGGACATGAGCGGTGCAAGTGAGCCCGTCTCAGAAGCGACCGCCTCAGAGACGGCATAGGATGCCATCGCGACTGGTTGTTCGTAGACATGCCTCTGGCGCGTTCGAGGGTCTGTGATGTCTGTGATGTGTTGTTGCAGTGAGACGGAGATATCTGTCGGTAGGGGAGGACGTCTGGAGAGTTGAGGAGGTCCGGGCGGAGCATATTGCAAGTCGACGAGGAGGGGGGGAGGTGGATGCAGATGAGTAGACGCCTTGTCCGACTGGACGGGGACGGGGCAATACTTCGGCAGGGGCCAGACTGTCGGTGATTGATTCAGACCGGAGACGAGCGCGCAAATCAAGGCGGTACGTTGAGCCATGTCTGCCGGTGCCTGACGTCGACATGACGACGGACTCGACGGACTCGACAAGTGCGGTTGTTGGGTGTACTGCCGAAGTAGGCTGGTCATGAGAGCGGTTGTGATGGTGAGTTCAGGAGTCGCCTGGCCAGAAGAAGAACTGGCTGGCAAAAGACGACTGCCGAGTCCCGCTGTGAAGGGATCGAGGGGTGGTGGTGGTGCCAGGCAGTTGATGAGGGGTCGTGGACGCGCGGAAGTCGGTGTAGAGTCCGGTCGAGACGAGACGGCTCGAGTCGTCTGCCCACCGACCAATCCGAAGGGGCTCTGCTTCGCCTCGGGCGATCTGGCGCTGGGTGAAACATCCGGCGACACCGAAGAGGATGCGATCGACGGTGACGAGGGCAGATTGAGCAGACTCGACGAGGTACCACCGCCACTAACGCCGACGACGTTGTCAACGTCCTCCGGTCGGACAGCCTCTTCCGGCTCGATGTCTGAAGACGAAGACGCCGACGAAGCCGACGCGGAAGTCGACGACGAAGACGAATCGCTGCCGGCCAAAAGACTTTCAATCGAATAAGCTGTGGCCGGAGGTCGGGGCTTGACCTCGGCAACACCGCATGTGCGTCGGACTCTGTTGTCGGTGTGTGGCGCGCCACGGCTCGGCTGGTACGGGCATGGATAGCCCCCGGATGGCAGGATTTGGGCCGAAAATGAAGGGGTTAGAGGCTCTCTTTCTCTGATGGCTCGGCTGATAGTAGACGTCTCGAAGACGGGCGCGGGGACAGCAATGGAAGAAGTTTTTGAGCAGGTTGTGACTGTCCGATGGCTCGGGGAATGCACGAGCTCCAGCCAGCCAGCCATTAGGTCCATTGGGCTCGAAGAAACAGTTGATCCCGTCTGATTTCCAATATCGTTCGGAATCTGTGAGAAAAATCAAAATAAGCATAATTCAGGATTGCATGTTTGAGTCCCGCCAAGCGCATCACGCTTACAACGAGTCTCGCATGACAAGATTTTAAAAAATTTACTCGAGAGTCAAACATTTTGCTGAAAGAGTGAGACATTCCCGGAAACGAACAAAATCTAAAAGCTGTAAAGTGCACGAATTCAAGTGACCCTAGTTGTGCTTCCTACAAGTAAAGAGGAAAGCGTGAGGATACTATTGAATTGACCCTATGCGAAACAAATATGAGTCTCGAGAGATCTCTTGGTTTACAAGTGTTGAGCACACTTTCATTACGCGGAAAAGTGGGTGATGTAGAAACTTGAAGGTCCTACGAGAATTTTACTTGACTTTATAGCTTTATTAGGATTGTCAGAATTGTAGACAGTTGCCGTGATGCCTGCCTATCAGATGACAGACGAGAGATAACAACTTATGCACAAAAATCGAAGGAAATTACGTCGGCAACAGCGTCAACCAGTCGACCAAGAGGAAACCACCGTCGTATTCTGGTGGGATCGGCCTTCAATTCTTTTCAGCAAACACTTTCACACGAAACTGAAATGGGCTCAACAAGTGAATTTCACGTCGACTTGTCCATATTCCGTTTTGTCTGTCCTGACAAGTGACGGTATTACTTAATTTCGTGGTGAGTATGTTCCCAAATGTTTGGTGTTT